CCACAAAAATGGAAGGTGGAATTATTTGTAATTGAAAAGTCAAAATTCACTAACAAAAACAGTTTTCAAAACAGTCTCTTAAAAATATCACATAATTCTCATGTTTAAAATCAATTTTCACATACTTCATTTTCCTTTCTGAAAAAGAAAAATTATTCATGGTTATAAATTACTATTTCCATAAATATGTGCACATTTAGATATACTAATAATCAATTATAAAGGGTGAAATATGAAACACTAAATTTCTCACACTAATATTCCATACATATAAATCTTAATCAAGAAAAAAATACATAATCGAAGAGCAAAATAATTAAAATTTATGCATGTGCTATATTTTCCCTGAAATAAAAGTATGATTCATTACTTTTTAGTTTTGCAAATTCAGCTGATAAAAATATCATTTCACCTCTAACTGATAATGACATCTAACACTAATATGTAATATTAACAAATAAAGAGCATATTAATTCATATCTTTTGAATGAATAGTTGTTGGTCCACAAAAAATATATATTACATTAGAAGTTCTCTCTTTATCAGTCTCCAGGGAATTTATGGTGCCCACAGCAGGTTGAACATTTAAAACTCATAAGTGACTTCAAGCTTATTTATCATGTAAAATTTATATTCACTTGAATGGCACTATTCTGGCTCCTAAAAACTCTTCACTGGGTTATTGTCATAGTTTTATTAAATATGGTTCAAATCTATGTAAAGCAGAGGGGTGGATTTGAATGAAATCAATGTTAAATCTCTCAGATACAATATTAATAAAGGTGTGATATAATTCTAAAACACTGGAGGTATAGTTTTATAAATTTAAATATTTTACCCTTCAGGATACTTTGCAGGTGTCTTTTAACTTCTTGCTGTATTTCAAATGACAAAATTAGAAAGTCATGTTTTCCCAGTCACTGAATACGAAAGATTATATATTTGTGCTTCAAAATATCCTCCTTTGGGTAAGGATGGTGGGCGTTAAAAGGCAAATCAACATTTAGAGAGGAAAGCATTCCTTACAATTAAACTCTTTTCAGTTACAGATGTTTATCTCACATATATAACACCATATGAAGGGCATAGTGACCTAAATGTCCTATTAAATTATTTTCATATCTGAGATATTATTATATAGTTATCCATGCCATTCTTCTGATACTCAGTGCTTTAATAAAAGCTTTTCCAAGTACATGGTCATGATAATGTATTGGGGTTATAATCATGATCAAGTCCATATACCCGAGCCAAAAATCAAACGAAGCTTGAATTTTAAAAAGTTCAAATAGAAAGAGTGCACATCTATTTCCAATAGAGGATATTCCAACTGCAAAATATTCTCAGCTCAAGCAAAGTATTCAGAGAAAGAGACATGGGAAAATAAAATACTAAATACAAACATATAGCATATCAAACTTATAATCATTATACATCACAAATTATATATCCTTAGAACTCTGCATACAGTCACTAGAATTAACAAATATTAAGAGCAATTAACATCATGCCTCAGTTATGGAAAAATAAATGACAAAAATAATAAAACACAGTTTGTTGCAATTTAAAATGGATTATCATCATATCACAATGTATGATGAAAGTTTCTTTAAAGCTCACGTTATTCTGGTTTATATACTTATATATTACATACTTATATAATATATATTATTATCTTTGAATTCATATATAGGCATATTCATATATAGGCATATTCTTATGTATATGAATTTTGTTTTTGGTACCAGGGATCAAATTTGGGACCTTGCACTTGCAAGGCAGGTGGCAGAACCACTGAGCTAAATCCGTGGCCCCTGTATATGAATTTGAAGACAATAACATAAAGGAATATGATAGTGGAAGACATAAAAATCATCTGGGAAGCTTTTCAGTGTCTATGCATAGAGTTCTGTCCCAAACAAATTCAAGCATTATCTCTGGAGCTGCATTTGGCAACACGTATAACCTATTCCCTTACCTCAATGTGCTCATGCTTGTTTATGCATGTGTGTACAAGTAAACACATACACGCACACACAGTTTTATAAGCAATGCTCACTTCTAGGAAATTCACCATGGTTTAGTTCAACTGCTAAGCACTGGATGATTAAATATGACAGAAAAGAATTTAAAATAATCTACTGTTGTCTTCCTCAGGGAGTTTACATTATAGCTATCCTACTCAGTTGTAAAACATTACTGTCATTTATGGATTGTGCTCACTGCAAGTGAATACTACAATTTACATAAAGTGACAAATATATCCATGGTCTAACACACATGCTGCATTGGGGAACAATTCCCAGTTCTTACTGAAGCTTGACAATCCAATCAAAATAGAGTTTGCCTGAAGTAAAGAAACAAAGACCTTCATTTTTTGTGTCACTTTCAGGAGTGATTACCTCTCAAATAAACTCGAACAGAGTTATATTTTGATTTTTCTGGCAGAACTGAATTTCAAAGAATTCAGAAATCATTGGCTTTTTTTTAAAACGAACGATTTTTGAATACAGTTCGAGGATGTCACTCCTTTTCTTAACAGGAAAATATACAATGTTACAAAAATACTTATGAAAAACACGATTATTCTAATATATTTCTCAAGTGAACCTATTTTTCTGTAATTTGTTTGCCTTTCCATGTGTAAAGCTTTTACATTCTCTGCTCAAAATTTCTAGAAAAAAGTATCTCTGAGGGTGAATATCAGTGAAATATTCAAAATCAGTCACTTTGTCTAACAAGCAATAATTTGAAAATTGTATCCTGATTATACTTTTTAACTAAAGTCTTCCGAAAAACCCCTTTACCATATAATGCCCACCTCCTGCCCGTAATATAGTTTAAGTTACCTAATGGTGATATCATATATAACTTCATCTGTGCAGCTGAAATACAATAATGAAGAAACTCAGGATATGCAGAACTCAAAATCATGAAGGAGGGCCTGAAGACCAGTATTTGTATTCTGTCCTTTCTGTGTGTTCCTGAAACCAAGGCTGATAATATCTGGCCTCTGCCTAGCTTTCGTTTCAGGATTACCCAGGTAAGAAACTAAAATCTGTCGAGCAGGCTACTTCATTGACCATACTGAATATGGAATTTAGAGCTCACCATTACTCTGCAATAAACCACAAGGACTCCAAAGCTTGCTCACACTACCTTATCATGATTTTCATCCTCTATTGACAAAGAATAGTAATTTAAGAGCCAGAAGATCCTGTGCCTCCTTCATCAGTTTTCTATATCCAACCCTGAAGGTTTCAGGTAAGAGGTTATAAGTGTATATTCCTTTCTGTCACATAATAAAATAAACTCAACAATGTGAAGTTTTTAAAAACAACTAAAAATTGTTAAAATTATGAACTGACTGTATTGGTACATTTTAGATATGCAATACAGTTGCATTTATTATTGGTATATTGGACCTTTACATGACTTATTTTTGTTCTTATTTTTTTCCCCACTCTCCCATCCTCCCTTTCCCCCTCCACCAAAAACTCCTAAATATTTTAACAACGCGTGATGTCAACTAGGAAGGCAAGGTAATGTAATAAAAATGAACGGATATAATACAAGCACAGATGACACCAAATCTAGCCTTTGATGTTAAATAAACTTGTAGGCTTGCTATACATTTCTGATAGTGTTCTTACCCGGTAAAGTTTTTTTTTTCAGGTGAAAATGAGATGATATAGAAGATGATATTAAACTTTTTAAAAGGAGTGCAGTACCAGTGATGGACACTACCGTGAGTGAGCTGCATACTCTTAGATTGACTTTTCATATTAAAACTCTGAGTTTGCACATTAGCTCACAATAGCTTGACTGAAGAGCCAGCATTTTGCGGGTGGAAAAGGAACAACTCCCACACCACTGGTTACAGGAGAGATCTCAGTGATCCTTGGCCCTGTGATGTCTTGGAAGGCAAGACAATAGCGCAGCTAAGGGCAGCATGACTCATACACAAAACTTCTGGGCAGGAAGAAATTAATCTGTGGGAAAAATCAATTTCTTCCTAATCAATGATCTGTTCCTCCTAGAATGTCTTGTTCCCTTGTGGCTAGGACTCTGCTGGTGTCAGTCTCCCCCACTCCATTGTTCCCTGCACAGCCCCTTGTCCCTTAGAGGATCTGTATATTAAAACACAAACAAACAAACAAACAAACAAACAAACCCAAAATAGGGCTGGGGATTTAGTTCATTGGCACCATGCCTGACTCAAAAGCGCAATGTCCTGAGTTCAATTCCTGGTACTAAAACAAAAAACAAAAATAAACCCAGAAGCTGCATGTTCAATGAACAGTGACGAGCTCCAGGAGACAGTCTTAGCCTGCTAAGAGCTTGGGCCATCCTGACTCCTCCATTTACGTATTAAGATCGGTCTCTTTTTTCCTGCCACCTTACTGTTGGTCAGGTGACTGGGGGGTCTTATCAGCCTTCAATAATACCAGATTGCAACACCTATTGTTGTTATAAAAATAACTTTTTAAACTGTTATTTAACAGCCAGCTAATATTATTCTGACATCTTCCAAAGAAGGAACAAAGGAAACCTTGGTTTTACTATTTAAAAGATCAGAGTATTCACAATTTTACTATTTCACACTTTAAGAATTCTAATATTTAAAAGAAGGGAATGGAATTAATGAGAAAATGAAAAATAATGTAAACAAAGTCTTTATAGATAGGGAGGGAGGGAGAGGTTGAGGGAGGGCAGGGGAGTGGGGAAAAATAAGAACCAAGATGGATTATGAAAAGGTACAGATTTATAACAGTGAATGTCATTATATTGTTTGCATTAAATGTACCAATAAAATTAACTTTTTAAAAAAGAAACTAATATGCATTGACATATTCTTAGCCAGCAGGATTATTCATTTTATTTTAAAAGTTGAATCAATAAATCAAATGGACAACCACATTGAAGAAGCAATCATTTTAATTACTTACTAATAAATATGCATTGCTTATTTTATATTAAACGAATGTGGCTCTCTTTACCTGGGAAGAGTAGGAATGACCATCGGAACCACACACAGGGCTGGTGTAGACCATCGGGCACTGACTGCAGGGTGGCGATGTGAGCCCCTTCTCCTGCTTATGACCTATTCCTGCTTCTTTCATACTGTTAAAAAACAAAACAAAACAAAGCAAAGATAAGAAAGAAAACTCCCATACCTCATGCATTTAAAAACACATATGCATATTAACATTTCTTTTCTTCCCTGTAATACAAAGTCTTTTAGATGAATCAGCTCAGGAACCTCTGTTCTCATTTTCAGTGCATTAATCCACACAATGTTCGTTATAATTTCAGTTTCACGTCTCTCACTGTGCCCCTCAGAAAACAAGAATATATTCCTTAAAATATTCTGGTAGTCACATGTAGACTGTGGTTAGATTTCATTGTGTGGATTCTTTGGTTTTAAAGCATAGTTAGGAAATGCGTTTTTGAGAGCCACCGGAACAGCAGCCCTCCTCCTTGGTAGTACAGGGCTCTGGCATCCAGTACCCTCTTCGTGCTGCCCCTGTAATTCCCGTATGAACAATATGAAAAAGACACCTAATTGATTTGGTACTTAAAGACAAGAGCAGCTTACTTTTAGTGAAAACAACAATACAGAAGTGTGATTTTCTAGCACCTCCTAGTAGTTAGAGAGCCAAATGAGTAGGTTTAATGATAATACATCCCCTTTTGTGGAGTAGGAATTTCTCAAAATGGATCTGTTCGGCTTTCATCTAAAATAACTTGGGAAAACTCATTATCTTTTTCCTAAGTTTAAAATAACTTATTTCTAAACTTCATTTAACTGCTTTCTTTCTCTGTTTGTGTGAACAATTTACCTGGGGCTGGGAAAGTTTTGAAAGGAAAACAGTAGGAGATCTATAGGAAAACATTTAATATTTAGAATAACTCAGTATTCCTTCTTAATTTTGGTCTATGGAGAGAGTAATTAGATGCCTTGTCAGGATGATGTTTTACTAGAAAAATTTGACTTTTCATAAAAAAGTCAAACTTAAGAAAATGTAGTTCTGATATTTTAATTAGCATTGTAAAGATTTTCATTGCAGGAAAATAAATTTAAATTTTCTATTGCAAATTTAGTAAAATCTAGATGGAGATTAAGATCTTTCTTCCTCCCTCTCCCTCTCCCGCCCCTCCGTCCTAAATATAATTTTTATAAAGACTTCCAGAGCTCCAGGGACATTTTCTTCATTTCAGTTTTGTGAAATACACTAAATGGCAACATTACAATTTTGGTGTGTCTCATAATTCATCCCATAATAGATACAATTGGGAAAATAATTGTAGTGTTATTTCTGATTGAACAACTGGCACAGGACACTGAAAACTCTGAAATATTATTTTATACCACTTCAAAATTGATAAGCTCGGAAGGGTAAGGGAAAGCTAATAAGGGAAAAGAAAAAAATATGAGAAAAGAAACAAAGGGTTTGTAAATGGGGAGGAGAGGAGGGGTGAAGGGAGGGCAGGGGTGTGGGGAAAAAATGAGAACCAAGACCTGTCATGTAAAGGTACAAGATCCCAATGATGAATGTAACTATACTGTATCCCTAAAATGTACCAATAAATTCAATAAGGAAAAAAATTGATGAGTTCCAGAAATTCAACAAACACAAAATATTAGCACTGTGCATTCTGTTCATGAAATAAAAACAAGACATAAAATTTAAATAACTTTTTTGTTTTTTGGATACATTAGGAGAGGTATTACCAAGTTTGGGTTTCTAATCAATTAAAAGTGTTTTCTAAGAATTTTATTGGTTAATTCTACAAATTTACAAATAATTACCAACACACTAATATGCATCAATGGAAATAAACATGGAATGTATGACCTTTATTTTTTTTTAAATAGAGTACTTATATTGAGAAAACAAAGCTTTTACACTTGAAAACTAAACCAACATTATAACACAGCATACACTTGGGCAAACAAACTGATTTACTATCAGGGCACAAGCAGTTCTAAGTCACGGTGATTATTTCTAATGCAGCAGCTGGGCAGGACTCAGGCAACAGTGGGGCTGTGTGAAGCTGTGTAACTTGCACATCTTGCAGACCACGTACAGTGCACTCCTAGCAGTGATATGTGCTCCTTTTGTCCACTTGAAAACCATATCTCTGTTCACCATGGACGGGAGCTTTTCATTTACAGAGCCCTGTTATCCCAAAGTATCTTGTGACTCAAAATTTGCTTGGTTTGGCATAAGCAACACTCCCAGAATTATGTGCTATTTACATCCTTGTCTATTGAAATATTTGTGCTTAAGCAAGATTAATAGAGTAGATGTGGCTGTAACCGAAAATATCTAAGATTTCATTAATACCTGCATTATATTTAATATGACAGCATATGTAAGTAGAGTTTATCTTCTGCTTTTTAGTTAAATTCTGAGGCCATATTTTAGGGAGGATGATGTGTTTTCCAGAGTGACATTAAGTCAGGGAAGAATCTTACAGCCCAAGATGGACCAAAAAATGTGCTTAAGGAAACATAGCTCGGGTTACCATCATGGTTACCTGGCAGCTGTAACTGGAAAATGACAAGTGAAAAAGTAGATCTGGAAGAGTATCAGTAGGCATATTATTCTGTATACCTTAGGTACAGAAAAGGTCTTTGCCATTTGAGGGAAAATCTAATTTTTTTTAACATAGAAAAATTAATTTACTGTTAGCTTGAATTATCAAATAGAACAATAAAAATTTCTTCCATTACTGAAATTCAATACTCAAAGTGACCAAAACAACAAGAGAAATAACTCTTCCTACAAGAATTTTGAAATATATGCCTTTAGAACTATTTTTCAAAGAGATTTTGTTTGAGCATTTGAGTTAACATTTTATCTACTTTGTATTGGCATCATGATTTCTTATAGGAAGAAAAAAAAAAGTTTTTGAGTCCAGGGAAAGGAAATGTTAAATGATAATGTAAGATAAGCAGGGTCACTTTGTTTTTTTTCTCAGAATTTTCTTTTTTGAATTTTCCCATACAAAGCACTAAGTTAGTTCCTTATCTGTATAACTGTTATGTTTCTAATTGCTGGAAAATTAAAATGACAAAGAATCTATACTATTGCTAGTGTGCATTTACATGACTCATTCCCAGGAAGTTGAGTTATACTATCTCCTTATTACCCGAAATAGTAGTGGCTCCAAATTAACTTTCATTCTAGTATACTTTATCCTCTAGTCTTCAGTACATATTTTTGGTGTCAATTTCATATGAAAACTCAACCATTTCTTATTTCTCTGATAATTTCAACATCCAATCAATTAAAATCTAGTTTCTTTTTGGTTACTCGTGTTATGCATCTTCATGGTATAATGTGAACTAAAGCTCCATGTTTTGGAAGCGTACAACAATTTGGGGAAGAGGATGGATGATGTTATCTAAATGATTAATAGAGAAAAAAGTAAATTTGATTTGTTTCACATTTAACCTTATCATTAATCAGTCTTGAGAAGTTAATAACATCCCATCTTCTTACTTTCTTCACTTGTACAATGATAGCCTTCATCATTATGTATCACTTGATACTGGGCAATCTATGAATCTATCAATCATTTATGAAACCACTTATATGAAAGCACTCAATGGCACAGATATTGCATACTGGCCATATGTTAGGATTTTAGAATGTAATTGAGTGTTACCAAGTGACTTGATTGTATCATCATTTGGTGAAGAATGAGGTTGACTATGGCAAAAAATTACTAATAAAGGTCAAACTGTTAAGCATAGCCATTAACATATGGTGAAAGATAGGCATGAACAGGGCTTTGTCATGTGATCACAGATGACAGAAGGTAAGTGACGCTTCCACGCGATTTTGATGAAAATACATTTAAAATTAGATAATACTTGTACTACAATTTTGAAGTACATCAATAAATCATAAACAATGACAGCATAAGTGAATATTTATTTTTCTAAAATATTGTTGTTCCTGCATTTGACTTGATATATTTGACATTCTCAGTTACCAAGGGCTTAAAATGCGAACATAACAAATTAGCCAATAATATATTATATATTCACCTTGAAAGGGAATAATCAGTATCTATGTTAATTTCTTAGGCATAAAGTATTTGTTCTTTTTCTATATGCACCAATATTAATTCTTACTGATAGCTTCAACACAAATTGACTTTAGTCTAATAAAACAATATACAAAGTAATACAGTCATGATGTGATATCACAACTAATGGAAACTTGAAACATTTCTTGTTCGCTCAATATATGTAGCATTTAAATTCTTTTACGTAATTTAAATTCTTGCAGTGTTGTGGTAAAATTCTTTCTTAAGGCAGGTCTGCCAAGTCATGTTTTCTTCCCTGTTCCCCAGTACTCCCCAGAAAACAAAGCTTCTCCCTCTGTCTGTCTCTCTCTGTCTCTCTCTGTCTCTCTCTGTCTCTCTCTGTCTCTCTCTCTCTCTCTCTCTCTCGCCATGGGTCTTAGGAAGGACAGAAGGCATTAGCAGGATGCAGCAAAATATCTTGTAAGAGGAACAGAATAAATTATTTGAAAATTGGATAGAAAACTTCTTAAAACTACAGTAACTACTAATTACTTTAAATGATTCTGCACTCTGTGTGTCAGTAATTTGAGCACTGAAATAAGAGTAAGAACCATGTATCATAATTTAAAATATTCTGAGTATAAAAATTTATACTACAAAATAATGTTAACAGCATAACTATAAAACAATGAATATTATATAAGTTGGCGTAGTTTAATCTGCAATATGAATAAAAATAACCTATTGTACATATTTTATGAAGAACAAAGTTTCCCACAGAAAAGTCCATTTCTAAACATATTTTAAAATGATGTGCTAAGTAAGAATAATAAAATGTATCTTCTAAAGATATTTCTAACACAAAGTGAATATATCCTGATAACTGATTAATGATACACTTTCATCATTAACTATGCTTTCCAAGCCAACAAACAGTTGTAATATTATCAAGAAATCAAAGTAGATAGTGATTTAGAATACCTGCTTTACAGAGGAATAAAATTAAATTCTGATGTTTTAAATAGAAGCAAACAATTTAAAATGAGAATTGTTTTTGTTGAACTAATCTTAAAACAATG